TTTTTAGTTCATATACAATGTTATGTTAATACTTGCAGAATTAAGTAAAAATATACAAAAAAAAATAAAAACTAATTACCAAGTTTACCAAAGATTATAGCCACTCTAAGAATATTTTGGAAAGAAGTAATAAAAAATGCATATGTGAAAGATATTTTAAAAGTTGTAAATAAATTACAATCCAGTAACTACTAATTGGTTTATAATCAGATATTCGTATTGATCTACCTTTAAGGAAAACCTAAAACGACTTCAAACTGGATAAAATCAACATGTATGACATTGGACGAAGAAAATATCCTCAACATTATTTGCTAAAGTATTCTAATTAAGACAAGTCTTAAAGTTGAGTCACTTATAATGTTCATATAATTTTATTCTTTGATGAAATACGTATTAAGACAACTACTCGTAACATTAAGTTCATACTTTTGGACGGAAAATTATATTATATTGTATAGGATTTTTGAACCCAGTCATCCATAAAATTTCACACTTCAAAAAAGTTCAACAAAAGTAATTTAATCAATATAATGAATTTTTAAAAGTATTGTATATATTTTAACTTTCTGAACTTTCTAACTTTTTTCTTTTATTTTTATTTGTAAAAAAAACTATAATTTATTATTTACATTTAAAAACAAATTATATTTTATTAAAATATTTTTCCAATATTTCGACTATCTTCAATAGTCATCTTCAGGAAAGTGTAAAAATCTGCTAATAAATTATTATATAACTTTTTGAACAAATCTCATCTCATCATCGAATATAAATGAAAAACCATATAAAATACCAAATACATTCTAATTTCCATACCTCGAAGTCCAATTTTGCAAAGAAAAGGTTCGAGTTACGGGGACTTTGAGTTAGAGAGTTAGAGAATTATTTTATTTTTTTTATTTTTAAAAGAAACTAGAATTATTTTTTAAGATATTTATTTATTTGTAATCAAATAAAGCGCAGAAGTTACAGTAAAGTAAAATATTTAGAAATTAAGGTTTGGAACTTTAATTTTTTTCTTACTTTCAGTAAAAGGAGATTCCACTTTATTCATACTCTTATCACTATCAGTTGTAGTATCATTCGTTTGCAAATATAAATTCAGAATTTTGAATGAGTCTTCTACTTCATTCTTGGAAGGCTGCTGAACAATTACATCCACCGAACCTTCATCATCACTTTTCGTTGCACTTAGAATTGGATCCAGTCATTTAGAGCTGTAGTGCTTAATAATATCGTCATCTGTAGGAAAGCTTAATGTACAAATTTTATTGCTGAATATAACGTTAAGAGTACCATTGGAAGCTACTTTTTTTTTTTTTTATTTACTTTAAACCACGCTGTCAGCAACTGGTATTTGCACAAAGAAGCAACATAAGAAAATAAATTAAACCTTTGGTTTGAAAAAAGGGCTTCCCCTAACAGCAAAATGCATTTATACTTAAAACAAAAATTCGACTTATAGAATGTACTTTTCCATGTTCCAGTCGGCACAAACAAAATTTTTGTTCGAGTTATACAGAAATTCGAGTTATAGAAATTCGAGTTATGGAAGCAGAATTGTATGTAATTTGCTCCTTTAAACTTTGGTGCACTGTTTTTGGCCAAATTTGAAAAATATAAAAAGTTGAAGAAAAATATAAAGTTGTTACAATAAGAAAATAATTAACAAAATCGTTTTTTCTTAGAAATGCTTCATATTTTGTAAACTACTAGTGATATATAATAATTTGTTTCCACTTGTCTAATTTATGTAGTTTTGCTCGTTAAGGTCGCTAATGAGAATAATTTACCATATAAAAACTGTTACCATATAAAACTGTAACATTAAAAATGTTATTCAAATCTATCTGCGATAAAAGCTGGTGTACCTCAAGGGAGTAAAATTACAAAATTCTGGCGGTTGCTGACTCCGTTGAAGAATCAGTAGCCAAATTACAAACAGCTACAGATTCGTTAGACATTTGAACAAAAAGATGGTGTATCAAACTGAATTCTGCTAAATCGGTTTAAGTGGATTTTACAAATAAAAAAATACAGACTTTCCTATTTCGATTCAAGGTACTTTTCAAGGTACTCAGATACCATATGACAATACTGCAAAATATCTTGGCATAACGTTGGACGCAAAACTTCGATGGAAGGAACACATAAAAAATAAACGAGACGAGCTTGATATGAAGTTACGAAAAATGGAATTCTGCTATACAATCAAATACAATCATATGGCGCTGAACTATGGGGGAGCGTAGCCAAAGTAACGTCGAAATAATCCAAAGTTTCCAGAACCAGGTTCTACAAAATATTTTAAAAGCGCCATGGTACATTAGGAACAGCGATATACACCGTGATCTAAAATTGTTCACAGTCGCAGAAGAAATAAGAAAGAAAGTAACAAGTCACAAACTGAGGTTACAGTAACATGTTGACACAGAAGCTGTTAACATCATAACCTCGTATAGACAACCAAGACGACTAAAACGGCGAAATGTCGCTGACATGGCATTGAATTAGAATGTAAAGTAATTTGTGTAGAAAATTGCTTATTTATGTATGTATAGTATTGATCAGATTCAAGCTACTCGTTGTTTATAATGCAAATAGTTGTAGCAATAAAAACGAAAAAATAAAATAAAATAAAAACCATATAAAGAGCTTTCACATAAATGAGCTAATTATAAATAAATCAACTGATTTAGGATGAAAAATTTCGAATGCAACCATTAAAAAAAAATTTCCCACAAGGGAAGTTACCAATATTTGAAATATTTTTCATATGTTTTATATGCAATATGTATAATATTAATGGAAACAACCAAATCTTTATTTCATTAACAAAAGTAGTTTTAGCTGCATTGGGAAGATAAATGAAACAGATACCTAAAAGTGTATATGCAAAGTATATACACAAGTGTGTAATAACACTTTCAATAAATTGTGAACAGGATAAATATATAATTTCTATTCAAATGTATATATATTTTGTACATAAATTTCTTTGGATAATCACTGTGGCTTTCGATGATTTTCACCTACCGGAAAATAAATGATGTTATTCAAAAAGAGATAAAGAAAAATTAAAATTATAAAATTTAATTTTTTAAGCTAATTACAAGTGTTAAAACTGGAACTACATAACTCAAATTATGGAAAAACTAATTGCATAATAAAATTTAATAAAGTTCGGCCTATGTCATATTAGTCATATTAATCGAGATTAAGAAATTTGGCTAGATAGCAGAAAGTAGTTGCGTTTTAAATGAAACTCTAGTATATTTCAATATAACTCGGGCTCATTTTACTGACTTATTAAGTAAAATAAATGAAAGTTCTAGGTACACTTTTTAAAATAATGAGCCTTTGCTTATACAAAATCTGTATATAAAAGAATGAACCCTTACAATATACTGAACCCTTACAATGTATTGGAACCATACATTATACTGCACCTTTGCAATATATGCACATGCATTTTGAAATGATCTTACCCAATCATTACAACTAATTGCAATTAATTATGTTAATTTATTTATATTATTACATATAACAAATATAACAGATTTTTTTAATAACATTTAGCAATACAAACATTTTATTAATTTCCGCTTTTTAAGTACAAATTGAGCAAAATGTGTGGTTGTAGCAATCAAATTCACCTGCTAATGTGAAATAATGCCTTGAACAACTGCCATGAACCTAACGTCACCGACGCACAAATGTGCTTTGATGCACCAAGAGTCAAGAGACAGACCACCACTGTGTTGGGACTTACCAGGCATATACGCAAGCGCAGACGGCTGGTAGGCGATAAAAATTATGGATCATGGCGTGCAATTAACAAAAAGGAAAAAAAAAAACAATAAAGTTGAAGAAGCAAATCCATACAATAAAATGAAACAAACGGCAACTGTTAATATACACCAAATGCTACAAAAACAACACTCAACTGACTAAAACATTTAGTGCTGCTGTTTAACTTCGCACTTTTAAATTAAATCCAATTACAAATAAAACTGAAAAACAAGAAGCAAATGGAAATATCGTAAGCCGAAATAAAATGCAAAAGTAACGCCATCGCTGATTTTCATAATCAAAGAAAGAGAAAGAAAGTTGTGATTTTTTTGTACAAAATGGAGAAAGGCACATGCACAAAACTGTAGAAAGAACAGCGATGAAATGAAACAGAAGACATTTGCTTGCGACAACCAATCACAATTTAGGGGGAAATCTTAAAAAACTTAGTTTCATCTGTATGCGTATTGGTTGTTTATACTTTGTAGAAGATGAGATCTATTGTCGGTATTTTCAGCAGGTAGTAGGTAGTATAGTAGACAACAAAACAACATGCAACTCAAGCCATAGCACAGACGATCAGTTTCCAAAACAAACAAACAAACAGACAGACAACTAAGAAGTAAAAAATTATTGCACTTCAAAAAACAAGGAATAAAAATATACACATAAAATACTTGTTTGTAACGTGTCAAATATAATACGAAGCAATCGAAGACGGGCGATCGATCGATCGATTTCCTATCAATTCGAATTTAGTCAACGAACCCGTAAAGCTCGTTTGAGTAGTGTTCGGCGCAAAAATAAACTTGTTCAGTGCAAACACGTACTTTGGTTTGAAAACACAATTTTAGCGACGGGATTTCATTAAAAGATATTTTTGTAACCAAAATTATTAAGTGATAAAAAAATTAACACAAAAGTTATTAGCAATAAATAAAAAAATGATAAACAAATTTGCAACACTGAAATACTTTTTAAATATACTTTTAAAACAATTTCAGGTGTGGAATATTTAATTATTAACGTCTTAATTAAACGATATAAAAATTTATTATAAATAATTAAATAAATTAAACAAATTAACAAAACAAATAAATGTTTTTTCATTGACTGATGTTTAAAAAAACTAGTTTTAAATAAAGAAAACGATTAAATCGAAAGTGTGAAGTTATCGCAAGTGTAATAAATAAAACTCAATTATTAAATTGGCAGGGAAAACAGATACTAAGTCAAAATGATTACAATGAACGAGTTGGTTGATCTACGAATGCAGCAACATATTGCACATGAAATATATCGACAGCAAATTATGCAACGGATTCCAGGTAATTTTCGATTTTTTATTTTATACATACACCTACAGCATTAAATGAATGAATATAAATGAATATATATATGAATGAATATATATATAATATATATTATACACTTGTTATATCTACAAAATATATTCCGTTTTGACACATTAAATTGATATGATTAGTAAAAGCATCAAATAAAAACTATATTCTTAATAATTATACGCATCCTATTATATTCTATACATTATTATCATTGTAAGGGGATGAGGCACTGCGACTGTCTGATCTATTGTGCCCCTTTTGGGCTTAGAGTAGGCATTTAAGCTCTGTTGCGTCAATAAAAAATAGTATAGAACCAACTTTACAAAGTTTTATTGCCTCTTCCGTAAGAATACACATTCCTAGAAGCCTACTTCGTATGTGCATTACCGCAGGGAATACTAACAGCACATGTGTGACCGACTCCTCATTCTCTTCACACAATCTACAGTTTGTATCCGTAAGTATACCCAGTCTTGTAAGGTGGTGTTTTAGTTTACCGTGCCCTGTTAGTATTCCTAAGATGGTTCGAAGTTTTTTTTTGATAGGTTTATACAATCCTGGTATCTCTTATTCTTATAGGTACCAATAAGTGATTTAAATTGTGTTAATTCTAGTATATTATCATAGTAATCCTTTTTATTCTGGTTCTCTTTTATTTTTATGAGAGAATTAGGATACTATTTCCTGATCCACATAAAGGTTTCGGCTCCATCATCGGCGTGGCTGCCCTGGTACCCAAAGAGTCGACACTTGATTTGATTCACCAATCCGATTTAGCTATATTCGATAAAAGGGGCTATGAAAAAGGGGCCATCAAAAAAAATGGGACATGAAAGGATGCGTTTATGGGAAAAAACTAGAAACTATTTCTTAACTATTTCATTTAAAAATATTAAATTGAAAAAATTGTGTTATACGTTATCTATGGATTTACAAAGATTTGTCGATTGCTCACAAGAAACAATTTTTGTAGTTTCAAATTTCATAATCAAGTTTTTCTTGATAAAAACTGAATTGCAAAAAATAAAATTTCTCACAATGAAATAATTAATTAAATAAAGTTCCGCTTATTATCTATTATTTTATAATTAATCACGAGTCAATTTATTAAGGGAGGAAATGTGACAATAGATATAAATAAATTGCTACCATACCTTGTTAAGTGTAGAAGAGTTTCTGTTCCTTTATACGATGTTTTTAATCACAATGCTTAAATATCAGTCAGGTTTATTATTACTCATAATTTCGATTGACATAATTTTAATAAGTCTTTTTCAACGGATTTATTACATATTTATTTACGCTTACTAGCAAGTGGCTAAACATATTCATGTTTAGTAAGTCATGATGTAGATTTATGTTTTGTTATTTAATATCGCATTAGTAATTCTATTATAACAATCTACTACCGCAAAGAATAAAACACGAAACGCTTTGATGAACACCATGCCCTAAGTTGAAACCCTAGTCCTACTTTTTAATAAAGCTCTGTCTCAAGATTTCTCAAGCTCTGCCTTACATATTTTAGAGCTTAAATACTTTTCTACAAAACAGGTAGCTATTTTAAAATAATCACCAATTTTCCAGATTTAAGGCGTTTAGTACATTTTTACAGTCTACACAATTTAAACGGTTATAAAGGGAGTATATAACGTAAAGTATTTCGCCGTTATCATAAAGGAGATATATTGAAAAAATTACTTAAATAAAGATCTAGCTACTAAGGTTGGTAAACTATTATGAGAACGGAATATAAACCTTGGGCCAAAAAAACTCTGATAGAAACACCCATATCTTAAGATGTAATGAGTAACCTGTCCTAGCATGATATTTCTCTAACAAACCGTAAAGAGGGACGGTTAGAGGATGATACTAAACTAAATAAACTGCTGAATTTAGAAGAAAGGAAGACGAAGTATTAAGATTTGGTTTTTAATAATATTAGTATTCTTATAATAGATGTGTTTATAAGGAAACCGTAATATTCATATAGTAATATTCATATAGTAATATTCATATAGTAATATTCATATAGTAATATTCATATAGTAATATTCATATAGTAATATTCATATAGTATTATTCATATATAGAAATATTACAAATGGCGAGTAAAACATTTTATTTAGTGACAATGGTCATGATATGGTCTATAAATGATCATTTCTCCGTGTCGTCTATCTACCTAATACACGATTGTCAGTATCAAAGTTAGCACGCAAAGCAAATTAAATTCTCATTAATAGCTAAAATCGATATATTGTATTTCCAAAACAAGAATTAAAATTGCTGCCTAGTTTCTTTACGGGGCATGAAAACCTTAACTTACATCAACATCTCAAACAATTATATCTGTCTGCTGTTTCAGAACGTTATCTCTGTCTATAAAGAATTGAATCTTCTAGTATTCATCCGAAATTAAAAAATTTCAAACAAAACAGATTTTAGCTTTCTGTTTAATGGTGTAATACTTGTTACATTACAAGAGATCGCAGTATGTCAATTGGAGAGCCCAAATACTCTTTGAGTTTTTATTTTTATAATGATTTGTTACCAAAATAAATCTGTAATTAAGGAACGATTTAATCATTCACCACATTCACACATTTTATTCATAAGCTTATATATATATACAATATAGTTTTAGGAATTCCGTAATAATGGGTTTGTGTCGGAGAGCACAATTCCTGATCCGAAACCTATTCTAGTACAGATTCTACACTAAAAATGTGGATCCAACTTACTTTCTTTCTTACCATAAGTGAATTTTCCTTTCTGCATCACTTAGTTTGAATGTGATTAAAAAAAATGTTAGGTAAATAATAATCATTACATAAAACTATATACATAAAACATATATATAAAACTATTAAAATAATAGACGATCTGGGTCTGATTAAATAGAAATTTAAAGTGTAGTAAATTGTATTGTCCTTGAGCATATCATATAGCATAGTGGTTCGCCTAATAGTATCAGAGCGATCATTACTAAATTGTTTTCACAGAAATTTGAGGCTGACGATAGAGTGGATCCGATCAATACAATTCATGGGTGTATTCATGGGCTACACACATATTTCATGAATTGTCCAACGAAGCACATTTAATGTTTCAAGAAAATAAAACTTGGAAAAGTATACGCAATTTACTATTGAAATTTTAAAATAATAGACAGTTAACCAATTCCATTGGACAAAATAGACAAAAACATCAAAAGAAAACTTTACTTAAAATAAGCAATATAGTACTGAGAATTAGAAGTTGTTATGCATTAATTTATTTTTATATATGTACATGCTTAAAAATCTGAATTAAATAGATTTATTTAAAACCTTTTTAAATTAAATCTTAATGCTTATGAACTTTTTGAATTATACCAAGAATAATCTTCAATTTGGTGCTAATATAAAAAATTAAATATTAAATAATACTACAGTTCTTATATAATTATATCAAGTTTTTATTACTAGATCCATTTCCACCAATGCTGCCCATTCCAATGCCAAGGCACGTTATCATGCCACCACGTGTAAGTCTCCCAGGAGTAGATGTCAACTTACAAAATAATGAACTTTGGCGGCAGTTTCATCAAATTGGTACAGAAATGATAATTACTAAAAGTGGCAGGTAAGTTTAAACACTAATTTCTTTTAAATATTCCATTTAAGCGATTAAAAATAATATTTATAATATACAAAAAGTAAAATTCTTTTAGCAACCGCTGAGCAATTACAATTACAGCATCAGATATTTGTCAACAGCTCGCTTAACAGTGTTCGTTTAAAGAGATTATTTATTTTTGATACAAAAATAATTTTTAATAATTTTTTTAATAGTTAATTATATTAATACCTTTTATTGATTTGATAGAAAGTAAAAGTATTAATAAATAAATGTTTACATTTTTGTTGAAACAAACAAATAGTTAATTCCAGTGATGGATGATGCACGGTAGCATCATAAAAAATTTAAGATAATAAGGAATCAGTATACGAAAGCTTAAAAAAGTTATATATTTCTATTAATCTATCTAAATAAAGAAAGTTTTTTAAAATAATAAGTATATATGATTAAGTTCTTTAGATAAATTGTTTTAAAAATGATGCTTTCCTAGTCACATCTCGTAACCCGGTTAACTAAGAAAATAAATCCCCTTCTATACAATATTTTTCGTTTCTTAAAATAAAGAATGTACTATTACGTTTATGCATGAAATTTAATTATTATTATTATATTTATTATTAAAATAACGTTATATAATAACTAATATAATATATATTACTACTGATGTAATATATAATATAATATTATCATAAAATTCCAAAAATTCAATTAATTAAAATAATATAAAAAAAAAGTTTTTTTATTCTTGTAGTTCACTTCTTTTCGAGACCTTTCTGTAAATATTTTCTTAATTTTTTCTAAAATGATTCTTATCTTACATTTTAATTAATTGTCTTTTATTACAAATAAGTAGTTATAACTTCCCAGTAAATTACTGAAATTTATTAATAACTTAATCTAATTTGTTAATATGAGTATATTAATCCTACATATATTATTAAAAAATCTTATTATTATTTAAAAAATCATATATAATGTTGTATATATTAATTTAAGTGCAATGAAGATCACAATATCATGTAAAAATCTGCTAACATGCTATACTCCTTAGTTTTTCTATATATATATACTTCACCACTGTAAACCTACTACTTCACACCATTTCCGATTCATCTTATATAAATATGAAAACAAATTTTTTTTTTTTTACTTAATCTACTCTGTCGAATTTTTATAAATGCATTAGCATATTTTGACTGTCTTCGCAGGGAAGAAATGTGCTGGTTCCTCTTAGACAGTAAAAAAATACTTTTCGAAATGTTCATTAGTTTCAGGCGCCGCCGCCGCATAATGTTTAGTAAGACGTCGCGACAAGATTTTTCACAAGCAAACAGTGAATTTTCACACAACAAAAACAAAAGCAAAATCCAACAGGTACTGGCAATCAAATTCAGAGGAATGAAAATATGTTTTTGTATGATTTCATTCCAAATTAATCAACAAAAAATACTGATAATAATGTAGAATATGGAGTAACCGTAGGTGCATTCGGTGGCAGAGTTATGATTTTTCTAAGAAATGATTTAGTTTTCAATACGATTTGCTTGTTAATTATTGCATAAAGTCCTGTTAATCCCGATTAAAGTAATTCAGTCAGTCAGTACACAAAGTAATTGAGCAAGTTAAAAACAGGATGCTATGTTATATATTCTGTGTTTTAGTCATTGATATATTCCTATTGATATACTCGAATAATCGAATGTCTAACTTTTAAATAGTTTCGTTTCGTCATAAAGACGCGTCACCCTCGGCAAGAAAAAATTAACATTAAATTAATTATTTTTATTAATTTGTAAATAATTTTAGATATCCTTATCTATTAATTGAATTAAAATAAAAATTAAATAATGTATTTATCTATTACTTATTTTTATAATAGCTAAAGTTGTAGAACCTTTATATATATATATATATTTATAAGTCCCATAGATTATACAACAACAAATTCAGAAAACAGTGGGTACGTTTGATATATTTATATTTTTTAAATATTTATAGTTTATACAAGTAAAAACATAGTTGCATATCCTTTTTCTGAACTTGATTATTTATGTTAAATTCAAACATAGTTTGGACAGCAAAGTTCTTTTTCATCAATTTTTGAGTAAATTTCAATTACGAAGTCGAACGTCATCTCAGTATTGCTTTATGGATGTGAGACCTGGCTTGTGACCAACTTTCTTATTAAAAAAATTCAAAGTTACGTCCACAGATGTCTTCGACGTATATTCAAAGTGTGGTGGCCAAATGTCATCAGTAACTGCGACTTATATGAAAAATGTAAATTGAAAGCAATCGTGGTGGCTAGGTCACACATTGCGAAAGGACGCCAGGAAATTCGTCGACAAGCTCTTGTTTAGAACCCCCAAGGCAGCCGTAAGAGGAGACGTCTTAAAATCGAGGAAATCGAGATATCAAGAAAAACGTGGAACGAATTGAAGATTTTGGATAAAAGTAGATCCAGATGGAAGTCCTTTATTGATGCCCTATGCTCCAGTGAGAATCACAGAAACTGCTGATGATGATGACTTTGTGCATATAATTTTTCAACGACTTATTGACCATTTTTTCCTATTTTTACCAAACTGATATTTCTGTTCACAATTAACCTACAGAACCCAATATCCGTAATGTTTTAACACATTCAAATCAAATATTTGAACAGATTAATTATTTTATATATATATACTCTCAATAAATGAAAATTGTTTCTATAATCAGTTTAATCAACCAATTGATTATACTGATGTAATTGTGAACTGATTATATGTGAGTATATTCTCTTTAGTTTTCAATTTTTTGATATTGTTTTGATCGGTTATTGTATGGTCTTTTTTCTATAGCTTGAACAATATTCCTATGAATCCTAAATATGTTCAAGCCCATACCTTTCTAATTCAGTTTTGATCCATCCTTAAATTTAAAAATGATGCTCAGGAAGATTTAATTTATTTGTATATTCTTTGCTATCCTGAATATATATACCTAAGTTTGGTAAGTACTGCTAAATATAATACCGCATCGTATATGATCATTTCAATTTTGTGTTAGTCTATTGTGTATATTATCTGTTTATATATATAATATATTTATTTATATATATTCTATTTAAATTTTAATGTATGTCATTGCCCTTAAGAGTACATTATATATATATATATATAGATTGCTTAACTAATCCATTTTTTGAAGTTAATGTTAATAGTTAATGTATACAAATCTAGTATCACATGCATGTTATATTCCTAGCATTGTCTTATTGGTGAAATATATATATTTTGCTCTATTATTAATTATATTATATATGTTTTTAGTAAATTATGTATATATGACTCTGTGATAAATAATTATGCTTTCTAAAATGTGAATTTTTAAAGCATTGTAAAAATGCGTTACTGAAAAAAATATTAACTATTTTTTCAATCGTTCAATCGATTTCGTTGGGGATATTACAATACTCTCATCAAGAATGCAACATAAACAAGTAAACTAATCAAAAATATCTTTAACGTATTTCAAATTGTAATGAAAGACTATTATAAGACCTGCTCTGAATTAATTTGGAACCTGAACTCCTAACAACTTTTAATGACATACAAATAAGGATTATAAAAAAAATCTATATATAAATTTTAATTAGTAATTGTTGACAAAACATATTATTTAAGGTAAATTTTAGAAGACTAGAGATAATGAATTACTTTTGACAATATAGTGTCATCAGAAAATAGGTGAAAAACCTCGCACGATTGCAAGGCCAGTATTAAAAACTTATCGTATATTTGGTACGACAGAGAGGTTTTATGACCTGACCTGTTGATCATAATGACCTGCCTTTAGTCAAGTACTGTATTATAAGCCTATGTAAGGCATTAAATCAATTTGAAAAAAAAATTGCAAACCAGAACGCGATATTCTTTGTCGAAACAATATTGAAGAATCATTCAAATTACGATTACTATTACTTTCTTTTACAATTTTATGCAAAATTGTATTAGTTTCATAAAGCTAAATAGAATTTATTTTTATACATATTATTTGAGGATTTCAATTACTACGTTTTTATCTAAAAATTGATCCAATTCAAAAATATTTAATTTATAAATGATCATTTTCAAATAAAAAATTTAGCATTCTTAACAAATACTTTAATTTGTCGTGATCGCAATGCCACATCCTCTCTCAATAATAATAATATACTTTATATATAACTATATCTATGGTCAAGCAGTGTTAGTTGCTGTTCCCCGTTTTGTTATTGATAATAATATCTGTAATGCTCGAAACCATACCATATTGGCGAGAAAACATTTTAATAAAAAAATTTGGATGGTCATGACATAGTGCCTCGCTTGAGTATAAGAAACTTATAAAGCAGTGGTTGCGCTTCTATGCTTATTAACTATATGCATATCGAAGACACAATCATAGCTAAACAGAGATTCATATATATAATCACATATGGAACTGAAGCATGTCTCGTAGGCAGCAATATTAAGCAAAAAATATATATGCAATTTTTTTTAAAGATGTTTTAGAAATATTTTATTAATTGGACAACTAAGCAATAAGAATGCTCCACATAGTACACCAGAAAAATATATGTATGTATAAACAAGATATTGAGACTTCAGGTACACTTTACGAAAGTCTTACGAAATCACAAGGAAATAGGATATGATGAAAATTAAGAATATTATGAAAGCAAATTATTTTCAATGACACCAAATCCTTTTACGCACTTTGGCTTTTAGAATGTCCCAGAGAGAGAAAATTACCTATTGATATCATACGATCTTAATAGAGTCCGGCTTTTATATATGTAAATACTCGTGTATGTATAATCTGTGCAGCTGAAGTTCAGTTCAACAAAAAAACCAACATTATCACTTAATTGATCTATGACCTTTAGCTAATCAAGAATATATATACTTTACACATCCACCAATATCTTCTATAAGGTATAAGGTATATCTCTGAAGACTTAAATTATATTTTTAAATTATGTCTGTGAAATGTACAAAAAAAATTGAACGAAAAAATAAGGAAGTGTATTTCTTTTAATGTAACTCGAATTCATCTACTTCAATTGATCGTTACTCGTAATATTAGAATCTAATACAACTGAAATTTTATCGAACGTCTTCAGAAAATTGCTTTAACTTATAACAAAATATTTTAATTTCATTAAATAACCAAACGTTTATGTACAATATGTACTCAATTACTGACATTATAATAACATCAACAAATCCTAAATAAAATGATCTGATATTTACTAAAGGATCTCCATCGGGACTTGAAGATCGAATCTCTAGATACAGTAATACTGGATCCAGTAATACAAAAGTTTGCGGTAAAGTATCAAAAACGGTTACAGCAGCACCCACACAAGACAGCCCACCACTTGTCTAATACATCTGGCCGGCTGAGGATACTAAAACGAATCAAGCCTTCAGGTTTTCTCCCGAATTAGTAGTCTAATAATAACTTAGATTACAACTCTATTAGCACGAAATCTTTGACTACTTGACAATTGTAAAACGTATTGTAAAACACAACAAAACTCCTTGATAGTGCAATGTACTTGAACTAGTCGTAGTCAAATGAAACATGTATTTATATTATTGTACATATTGTGTTTCATATAATAATAATAAAAAAAATAATAATATATATAAAAATATGAAATACATAAATGCTCCATACACTTTCGTTACATTACACATGAATTGAAAAGCTTAAGTACCAGCTAACAGCATCAAAAATGTGAAAATAAAAAAGCCGAAGAATAATTTACAAAAAATTACTATAGGTAATATCTGTTTGAACATATCCTAAGTTAAAAAATACCTATATTGAACACTTTTTAATAATCATCTTGTACTCTAACTACTTATATTAGGTATAATTTTGTATGACATATTAACTTTTTCGTATCGCTACTGATATGAGTAGTACACCTGCACGTTGCACAGTGGCAGCGCGAGTGAGAGACCGCTACTATATCGGTTTTCTAATATGTGTTTAGTGTTTACACTTATCAGTTGACGAAATCACACACATTGTTGACAATCTTAAGTCTGCCCGTCTCTCCGACTCTCCAAGAACGACAGCAATACGAGCAATTTCACACTTTCGACAAGCATTTTGATCATTCAATCGATAACATTTAACTACTGTCAAGCGATATATGCGCCTTTGGTCTTTTGTTTACAGTGAAGCCGGTCTTGTCCGGTTTCAATTTCTACTGTATAATTTTATACAATATCATTTTATTTTATTTTGAAATTGAACATTTCTCACACTCGACTAAAAATTTATAACACACATATTTACCATAAAATTTTATTCATGAGTGTATCTTAAATTTTTTTTTGTTTTTTTTTTTTTGTTGATATATCTACACGAAGAATTTTATGAATAATTCATAAAAGACAAAAAGTTTCAAATCTTAGCTTCGGAAGCATGCATGCATCTCAACTTTGATATGGTAGATATGGTGAAGTTGGTCTTTTAAGGGCCAAAATTGCTGCGAGTTAGTAGTTATGTGTATAAAGTAAACAAAGTTTTTTCGGGAATTAAATCTAAATAGATTTGCTTTTATAATTATGGGGCGCCAGCCACTGTTTTACTGTATTTTTTGTTTAGTGTCATTTGGAACACCAGCTACGGAATGAAACTGTGAATGCAGGTAATCGATATCAGCTTCTTTAAAAGAGTGGTCCAAATGCTTAACCTGTTCCTGATAGTGATCATCACTAATCATTTTTCATGACTAAACATGGTGCGAGCATAAAGACTATGCTGAAACAGCAAATGCGTATGTTATATTTGATAGAAAGCGATTTTAGCATAACTATTTAATTTGTTGATTTATAAAATATTTTAAATATCATAATTAATCATTTCCAGTATATGAATATCCAGTATTTTAATAAATATTATATATAAAGGAAATTCTCAAAAAAAATTTAAAATGTTAGGCTGGCGCCAAACGTGGTGACCACCTGCTGTTTCTCTTCGCATCCTTGTTAGCAATACAAACCTACGAAATTATTTGTTTGTTTTTTTTTTAAGAATCTTTGGTCCTTTTTAACGATTCTGCATTTGAAGAAGTATGCGTAGATTTGCTTTGTTAATATATTTGTAGAAGAATTTCTGAAAGGCATACAATTAAATATTTGTAACGCCCTCCTTAGAAGTCAACATTTGCTTCATGCACACAAGCATTTCCTTATCTTTAATTTATTTACTTTTTTAATGTTGGTTTCTTCAAAAAGTTTTGCGCAATATTTATTTAATTAAATGGTTTCATTTGCTTAACATGTCCTTATTTATAGCAAAGGAAAATAATTTGAAACTTTATTTAAATGTTTGTTTATATTTTTTTTACAGACGAATGTTCCCATCTTTACGTCTCTCACTTTCAGGGCTTGAAGAGGAGGCTAACTATTGCGTTTTACTGGAAATGGTGCCAATTGGTGATTGTCGTTATAAGTTTTCGGGATCCCAATGGGTACCAGCGGGTGGTGCAGAACCGCAAAGTCCTCAACGTATGTACTTACATCCTGATAGTCCAGCCTCTGGTGCACATTGGCAAGCTCAGCCTATACTTTTTAATAAAGTTAAACTCACAAACAATACACTGGACAATAACGGACACGTAAGTAATGTTAAAGTAAATAAATAAATAAATTTCATATGTACTACACTATGATGTTTGGTTGATTTATGGAGCCAGTATCACAAGAAATATAATTAGGTGGACATTTGGATAGCTTTTAAATAATATGATTTATTAAGTCCTCTAAAATATACCACAGTTTTCAATTCCACTTTATCATTTGATGCAAATCTTCTTCCCTGGAGCTATCGTTTTAAATTTGGAAACAGGTAATAGTCATTGGGAACCAAATCTGGAGAATACGATGGGTGAGAAAGCAATTCGTACCGTAATTCATTTAATTTTGCCATGCTTTTCATTGACGTGTGGGGGGTGATTGCTCCTGCTTCGACAAATATAGTCGTTTATTCTTGATTTTCTCATTCAAGCGATGCAATAATATGCAATGGTGTTTTGATGTTATTGTTTTTCCTTTTTTCAAATAGTCTATGAAAATTATTCCACTTGAATCCGAAAATACGGAAGCCAAAACTTTTTCAACCGATTGTTGAGTTCGTGGTCATTTGGTAGCACTACCTCCGGACTCGACCCATTCTCTGGCTTGTTGTTTTCTCTCAGGTGTGAAGTAATGGAACCATGTTTCATCAATTGGCACTACTCAAAGCTTACAGTCAACTAGATTGTACATAAACATTTCCATACAATGTTTTGAATGATGAAGTCGTTGTTGTTTTTGATCAATTGTGAACAAACGCGTAAACAGAATCAATTTCCAATTAAATTAAATTGCATCATTGTTCATTGGAATCTTTTTACTGAATGATATTCAATTTTTTTCATTCTATAAAAAATCACCAAGGTTCACTATTTCAATTATTTTGCAAAGAGATAACTAAATATCTGATGAAGTTTCAAGGATTGAACTCGTTTCCTGCCAAATTTCAAGCTCAGAGTCTGTGTTCATTAGCCAACTGACCCAAAGACGTACTTAACTTGTATGTTCAAACTTGGAATTTTGTAAATCTGCTGTAAAAGTTCATTAAAAAATTCATTTGTTGTGTTATATTAGAACAAATCATAAGCTAGCTGTAGAATATTTAAATTAATTAATTATTTCTTTTGTAGAGGCAATATTTATTGCATGATTTTATTACTCTTTCTTGAGTATACAACGGAAAATACGGAAAAAGTCATGTTCATGATACTCCACGATTCGCTCAGGCGAAGCTGGACAGTTGAATAAATATTTCTATTCATATTTTATTCTATAGTAATTATATATTAAATTGATTTTTAACGTCCGTTTTGACGAAAGAAACTAAATTCTTAATATAACACGAATTCTTAATATATTATAATATAATAAAATAATATTTTTTTATGCTTAATTATTTCCTAAATTGTATATTTAATTTTAAATATAATATTCCAAACTCAAAGACTCAATGACTTTCCAAAATGCAGAACGATTTAAAACCATATACGCCCAACTTTATAAGTATTAAATAAAACGCAATGGCAGATAGTTAGGTGTGTTATATGGTAAGAAGGAACCTCTTGATATCAAAGTGCTTAAAACATCAATAGATTTTTTCATAATACTCATTTAGGTTTGTAAACATGTACTTGAACTTTTCATATATTGACTTTTCTAGCACTTCTTATAGCGACTTTTTCTAGTCGACAATATCGACTCGACACTACTGCTCCACGTTTAACCACCTGCATTAGTTGTTTATGTTTTTATTTATAAAATTTTTACTTCAAAATTACGTCAAAATTTTAGAATTACTAAATATTTATTAATTAATATTTATAATTAAAATGATTGTTCTTCCTTTTCAGATTGTATTGGCGAGTATGCACAAGTATCAGCCACGCATCCATATCATTCGCACGGCGGATCTAACGCAGATACCCTGGGCACCGCAACAAGCATTCTTATTTCCAGAAACTGAATTTGTAGCAGTCACTGCCTATCAGGTAAGTTAACTGTTAATACTCTAATATCCGATTTAGAGGAACCTATTTAATTAACCTTAACATATGCCACAGTATCCGCAATCGCCTATAAAAACACATACTACTTCCCAAAACATATAATTTAATTGATTAGCCAAAGTAAATGCTTTTAAAAATTTACCAAATTGGCTAAGAGACAAAAGCACAGCAGCTAAAACTTATACAAATTAACAATACACGCCTACACTCATTCATCTTTCCATTACAAAGTGGATTGGTGCTGTTGTTTTAGGAAAACGACCATCATCCTTGTTAACAACCGAAATATTTAAGTGGCATAATTGTGCACTTGCTGAGTTTTTCATGCATATGCATTCATACACCGATTTTAAAGTAGTACTCATATATCCTGTCTGTCTGTCTGGCCACTTGGCTGCAAATTAGTTCAATACAGACGTCAGTTTGTCGGTGCCTAATTAGCGTGTTCACTGTCTGTGTCTCAAAGTTGTCAAGTCATCCTAAAATCTGAATGATTTTATGGGTGAAAAAGTACAGCTTCAACATATTTTTGTTACTTAACACTTTTATAGAAGACGCTATTATCATATTTCACACAATTTAGTAACGATATCTGCCAAAAATCTCAAAAAATGAGGGAATTATTAAAATGAGTGAATGAAATAAACAGTATATTTCAATGTATTCATTTTTATTTTTATAAATTCACAGAATGATCGCATCACAAAATTAAAAATCGACAACAATCCATTTGCAAAAGGTTTTCGTGAAACTGGACAGTCGCGATGCAAGCGTAAAATGTCTTCATCACCCTCCAATGAAGATCATGATAATAATATGCAACAGGAAGGCCAACAACAACGACTTTTACAACAACAACAAAGTGATCTGTCGCCGATGAAATCCAATTCAACAACGAACAGTAGTGATTCGGTTCCGTCAATTTGTTTTGATAAAACTGCATTAGGAGCTTTGCCCGAAACCAACGATTTTGAAATTAGTCAACAAATTAAACGCATAAAATCAAATGGTTCCGCTTGCTCTACAACGTCGCAAGAAGAAATTAACATAATTAGTGGTATTAGCGAAATCGACCAGATTAGCAGAGCTCCAATTTTAAAAGCAGACCATGATTTGCATATATCAGCACATGGTTGCCACCAGCCGCCTAATTTAACGCTTGCCTTTGGGAATCGTGGCATTAGCACTGGCGCTGGAACGACATCAACTTTTATGCATAATTTCCAACAGAACATGCAAACACTATTGCGACCTTCTATTGCTGATTTAGCTTGTACGTATTTCAACAGACCACAATTATTATATCCACCTAACATTTACTCCCAGCACACTCTTTTGGTTAATGAAGCAGAACCAAACAATTTAACAACTAATACGAAGTTCGATGTGCATGAATCATTTCAACTTGCGTCTATGCAATTACACTCTGATACTGAAACTGATGATGTTAGAATTAATATCAATGAATCAGAAACGAATGCAGAAGTCGATATAGAAGCCTCTTCGAAATCATCGGATGAAACATTGGAAATTCAAGAACAGCAATCAAATATTCATTCTGTAAAATCTCCAACTAAAAGAAACGCTTTCAGCATTTCAGCTATTCTGGGTGGGAACAGTTGAAGTTTGAAGTTTTTGAAATATTCTGTGTAAAAAATCTTCCCTAAAATCGTAAATCAGAGAAAGTAACTATCATATGCTCTCACATTTTTTCATGACAAATAAAACATGAAATGTATATTTTATGTCATTTTGAAAAGATATTATCTATATAAACATATGAAATTACATTGTTACCAAATAATTACTTATAAGCAATTAAACCTCTAATTACTAAAGTATATTTAAGCACAGAAGTGTTTTATGTACAGCAATTAAAGAAAACACATTATTATTAAAAATAAAGATAAGAAAAACATGTATAAAAATTTGAATTCAATAATAAAATTAGCTTAATATATTTCAGAAAATAAAACATTAATTCAATTTGATGAGAGACATAAATAAATATTATTGAGGAAAAAACATTAACTATATATAATGATTATATTTGTTTTATAGAAAATTTTTTAGCCTCTTTTTTAAGACTATATTTACAGTTCTATACAAGTCATTTATATGATATTTACTTAATAAATTCTTTTCAGCTATATTTTCAAATTTGATTTATATATATAAACATGACCTTATTTATATCGTCATTCTACATAAATATTACTTAATACAGTTAAAAATATTTGATTCATGTTTCAACTTTACCTATCTGGAATCGTAATACATTGTGACCGAAAGGTTTTCGGAAGTTCTCATTTAAAATTCGCGCGCTGTATATTTTTCGATATTTTAAGTTTATGTAGTTGGCAGCACTGTCCTTAATTACTATGGCCAAAAATGAGCCGATCTGTCAGACAGTTCGTTTACGGCAGCTGTTGAAACCAGTTCCCCTCAGTAGTGCGTTGCGAAAAAACAATGGAAAAAAATATTGAACAAAGAGTTTGCATCAAATTTTGTGTTTCGAACGAAATTTCGTGTGCAGAATCGTTGCGAATGCTACAAAAGGCTTATGGGTAATCAGTTTTATCGAAAACTCAAGTTTATGAGTGGTACAAAGCCTTTCAGGACGGTCGTACGACCGTCGAAGACATGCCGCGTTCTGGACGACCTTCGGCCTCTACCACCGACGAAAACATTGAAAAGGCAAAGGAAATCGTGTTCCAAAATCCTCATGTGAGTGTTAGAGAGATAGCACGAGAGCTAGGCATCGGTCGTGAGAGCTATCCGCCGTAAACGGCCTCAATTGTGGAAGGATAATTCATGGATTTTTCATGACGATAATGCTCCCTCGCACCGAGCCAACATTATCAACGATTTTAAGGCCAAACATTCAATAAATACCATCAAACAGCCACCGTATTCACCTGATCTTGCACCGTGTGACTTTTTCCTGTTTCCCAAACTCAAATTACCACTCAGAGGAACGCGTTTTGAATCCATAGAAGACGAAAAACAGAATTCGCAGAGGGAACTCAAAGCCATACCGGAAAGCGCCAATAAAAATGTTTTGATGATTGGAAGAAACGTTGGCATTTGTGTATCGCTTCTAATGGAGCATATTTTAAGGAGATAAAATAAATATTGATGAAGATTAAGAATTTTGCGTTTGTACATTGTGACCGGAAACTTTTCGGTCACAATGTAAGTCTCTGCATAAAGTTTCATGTATGTGATCTAAAAAGGCGGCAACTAGTTTATCTGCTAACCAGTTGTGTGTTCAGAATAAGGTCATCAACTTGTTTTACGACATTCCTCCATTGTTCTTTATTTGTGGCTTTTATCTTCCAGTTCATTACCTTCACATCTATTCAGATCTTGTCGGACACTGTCCATCTTTTTCTCGGTCTTCCTTTTCCTCTTCCGTTCTAGCTTCACTCTCAAAGATGTTTAGAGTTAGATGGCTCTTGATCAAATAATATATGACACAAAAATTAAGTGAACTACAAAAATATTATCAAATCATCTTTTCTGGTATATCACCCCATGGGCACAATCCTAGTACTAACTGTTATCACTAAATCGCTGCATCTTGTCAGTAAAACTGATCAATAAAACATACACATATTTTATTCAAACTCCAGTATCTGTTTCACAGTGTTACAAATATGACAATAAATTTAAAATAGCTTTTTATAATGAGGCTGATGAAAAATCCCTAATCCCCGGCTATATAAATACCAATATCAATGATCATATTATTAATTTTTTTAAGTCTCCAAGTTTCGACCAAGTATAAAAAGTTGTATATAGAGGTTTTCACCTTATTTTCGAAAAAACAAAATGATTGAAATTAAAACGGAAATGAATAACTCATTTAAAATTTAATTAAATTAATTTTTAACCTATATGGTCCCACCTTTCCAAAAAAAATCATTAAGATTATTCTAAAAGACTTTATAAATTTGTGCTCCCACCTTTCAAAGAAAATTTCTTTAATAAATACCTTTCAGTGCAGAAATTATAATATCTACTTCCTTTTGGTAGAAAGAAGTGGCATTACTTGTTAATATAAACAATTAAAAATTTTACCCGGTGGTATAGAATTTGGTGGAGTGGGCTTAAAAATCTTAATGTATGCAGATGATATCGTATTAATATCGGAAACTCCAAGGATGTTACAATTAATGATTAATAAATTGAATGAATATTGTAAAATGTGGAGTTTAAAAATAAATATTAATAAGTCGAAAATCATGATATTCAGGAAATACGCAAGAAAACTAAGAGCTGAAGAAAAATGGCGGTTGGAGGAAGAATACATAGAGGTGGTTAACCAATTTAAGTATCTAGGGATATGGATAACTTATAATACATGTTTCGGTAAACACATCTTAGAGAAATTAAAAGAAGGTAAATTGGCAGTAAACAGTACTTGGCGTAAAATCTTAGGGAACAAAGAAGTCTGTCCAGCGGTGAAACATAAAGTTTTCGAGACGGCAGTTAGAACTATAGTAACATATGGGGCAGAAGTTTGGGGTGTGGAGAGATATGAAGAACTGGAAAAATTACAAAGGAACTACATTAAACGTGCATTTCATTTACCAATAAACACACCGAACTATATGTTACATTTGGAAACTGGATTACCGTCGTTACATATAAACACACTTAGACAACATTTCAAATATATAAACCGAATACTAGTTTTAAAGGATAGTCGTCTGACAAAAATAGTAACTCAAAAATTATTAAGCAATAAAACCTTATTTTTCAAAAACTGGATGGATCTGGCAACAGAATTAGATGAACCATTACAAATACAAGAGACTAGATCCTGGAAAATATGGCAAGAAGTTATAATAAGTAAGCAAACAAGCAAAGAACGAGTACAATTCGAGTACGCTGCGAGAACGAGCCTAACGAGAGCAACATACAGTACACTAAATTACGATTTGAAGGATAACAATTATTTTAATTCCAAGTACAGAGAAATAGATATTACCAGAATATTTAAAACACGAGGCGAACTATTACGCTTGGCATATATTCCTTACGAAAACCAAGTAAATGTAGACTGCACCCTTTGCAATCTTGGGGTAATTGAAGACGTCCAACATTTTATGGGGATCTGTCCTATATTACAGGAGATTAGGTTTAAGTATTTTGGAAAAGTATCTTTAGAAAAAACAGATGTAATTTCATTATTAAATGGAGAAAATTGGTTCTTGCTTAGCGCTTTTATTAATGAAGCAACTATTTATAGAAAAAAAATAATAGACGAAATATTTTGAAAGAATTTTAAATATTATATAAATTAACATGTACACCTTTTAAATATTAAAATAATGGAAATATTGAAATGATTAAACTAAAATTAAATATTAAATTAGGCGGAGGAGTTTTGACTCATAGCCTTCTTATACACAGCTGTTATACAAAAAAAAATTTGTAAATTTGTAATTTTAAATTCAATTGAATAAATATAATTAACTATAAACAATTTCTAACTTTAAAGCCATATCGAAAACTGAAATATATTGACATATAATGTAGTAGACACCATTGCTCAAAATAGCTGTTTTTACTTAAATCCGATGTTAAATCAACGTTTCTATGTAATAGGAATCAAGCCCAAGTATTTATCAATAAGATTATAATATAATCTGTAAGGTTATTCTTAAAGACTTTATCAATTTGTAGAACAATTAATAGAATTCCGATTACTTTTTTATGTACCCTTAAATATTTTTAATAAAAACAATATACTAATATTTTTCAATAGGTATTTTCATGTTTAGTTGCAATATTATTTTATCCTTGCTACACTGTAATATAGTATTGTTGCATACTAACATAGTTCTCCAAATGCCACAAGCAGACTATTAAGTGATTTTATTCCTATTCCTTTTAATAATGTAAATAAAATTTACACCGAATCGCAACTAAACTACAAAGGAAGACGAAGTTATCTTTAATAAAAACCAATGCTTACAATTGTGTTAACAAGGCTTATCACAACATCACAGAATGCCGCATCATAAACGATGGCGCCTAAAATATGTAGTCAAACAACCGCACTTCAACATGTTGCAAGCAATGTTTTAAAAGATGAAGCTACATGCGGGTCAGGCAAGGAAAATTTTATCTAAACGCTAAACCCAAGAATAAAAATCCCACGTGCTTGAACACGGGTGGAAATCGTTGAAATTTAAGTCCAATAACGGAGTTTATGATGAAATATGCTGCTGTAATATACGCCAATATATAGTCGGATATAAAATTTCATTTTGATAAAAATACTTATTTACAATAAATTTTTCACACTATTTTAATTTTTTCGCTAATAATCTTTTGAATGAGATAACAAAAGTACATATATACTTTAATGCGGAATAGTTTCTATTAATGGAATGATAAAATATTTAAAACTATATGTTATTAATTTATTTTAAATAAAGTGAAGTAATATTACAAGCTATTTATGGTCACTTTTCGACGAGAATAGTATTTGGTTCTTCACTGCCAATATATATCAGATTCATTATCAATAAATCTTTGTCCTCTATTTTACTGAAAATTATAAATGATTATATTACGATGAAAGATTTTAATAGCCATACTGCAAAGCCTCCAGAGTATTCAAAATACTGAAAAGCGTCCAGAGTGTT